TCATTGATGTGAATTATGACCATTGGTTTGGCATGCGAAATTTGTGACTTCCCATGAATATGTAGTTACAACATCGTTTGAAATTGTAATTCGTAGTAAGGGGTTAGAGTATCATCACATGAATACATAGTTACAACATCGCCTAAACTCGTAATTCACCACCTATAGGTTATGGGTCTGCTGGTGTTTCCACTAGGTTGTCTAGAATAGTTTGTGGTCGCCATCTATACTCTGGTAGATGACTACATCGCCACATTGCTGGTAAAGGTTATGGTATCTCCTTTCATCCTACATCACATATTCATCATCATCTATTTACCTAATTATCACCACCTTTCTATCATCACCTATCTCTCATCATTTTATTTCATCACACACCAACTATTTCATCTACCCATGTTTCATCCACAACATATTTGTAGATATAAAATAAATATACCGTTTAAATCTTTTAAAACATGTATAAAATCGTTTATCCAACATAGATAGCAAGTATTCAAATAATATGCGCACATAACATGTAATTTATAGAAAATACTTCATATCTATGTGTAAGATGAAAGTAACTATATATACCATAAATGCTTCATAACTTTAAACCCCAAGGTTTACTCTACTAAAGCTTCATATTCTCGGCTCTCTGAACCTAGAAGGGTCCATATCTATCACACCAAAAAGCTCAAGATAGCCCTTCCTCTCACTCTACACACTCAAGCTCGCTAGGGTTCTCACTTATGGGAAAGGTATTCGCAATTGAAGGACATAAGTGCCTTTAAATATGGCTCGAGCCCAAAGATTTAGGGTTTCTGCCAATAGCGCGGACTCGTCGAGTCGCCTCACCGACTCGACAAGTCCATTCATTAATCCGAGTCATCAGTCGCGACCTTACTCGACGAGTTGAGGCGTTAACTCATCGAGTCTCTCTTCTTAACTCAAAAGAAAAATACGTAAATGATGATAATTGGAAATCCGGATGTTACATTTTGTTTTTTTATTTCATAGATTTCTTCATCAACAAATGTTGCTACAATTAAACAAAAATAAATAATTTTGCTAAAACATAATACAATAGGAAGTTTGTTCACATTTAGTCATTGAACTTTTTAGAGGGAAATAAACTTTCGATTTTGTTCACATTTAGTCACTAAACTTTTTTTCATTATCTATTTGCCACTAAACTATTGAAACTGTTCACATTTTACCCTTATAACTGGTAACAGTCGGTCATAAGGGTAAAATGTGAACAATTTCAATAGTTCAATGGCAAATAGATAACGAAAAAAAGTTTAGTGACTAAATGTGACAAAAATCGAAAGTTCGTTACCTTTTTAAGTCATTATCCCTACACTATATCCCATTTTTAGTAATTTATTCTCAAAGAACAATGCTATAATCTGTAATTTATCATCTTTTAGTTTAATTTTCTAAATATATGTGTGGTTGTCTATGTGTGTGTATCTCTTTAAAAATTCTGCAATTTCATCATTTTATGACCCCTATTTGCGAAGTTGAGTATTTATTTCCAAAAATGCGAAACTCCAGGGACAATATTTGAAAATCTGTTTTCTTCCCCAATTCGCATTCTACTGTGAAATACTTCGCATCTTCATTCTTACACCCTTCGCATCCCTTCGCATTAATCACCTTCGCATTTTAACCTAATTAATCAAATGCGAACCACAAAATTTTCATTCCAGATGCGAACACAGTTTAGTTCTTGAACTCTAAACTTGCGAAATCAAAAATTCATATGTTGAACCCATATGCGAATATTAACCCAATTGACTTCAAATTGATTCATAGATGCAAACACTCGATTGTTTTACTTTCGCAAAATGAGCATCAACAACTCCACAATCGAGTTTTTAAATTCTTGCAAACAACAATTTCATAGTCCTTGACTTCGCGTTTTTCTTCACGAATCATCCCTCAATCATCAATCTAATTGCGAATCAAAACTCATATGTTCTTGCTTTATCGATTCATCGACTACACTCATACAAATGCGAACAATACTCAATTTCAAAATCGATTGAAACTTATAGCAAAGCTAAATCCAACTTCGCATTCAAAGCAGTGTTATTGATTGCATTCATGAAATACTAACAAGATAATATATTATAATACAAATATACATATTTTAGGTGGTGAAATCGTAACAGCCTAACAATTTGGTATGCAACTTTATTAAATCAATAAAAAAAGTTATGCAAATTGGAAAAATAAATAAAAATATATCTTTTGTTGTTTTAATTAAGGAAATAAATATTTTATATGAATACTCACCTGGAAAAACGCATATTATAATTGTCTAATTTAATCGTAACAGCCTACCAATGTACTTTCTTCTTGACTGTTTGATTGTTTTTTTCTGTGTGCTGATTATAATTGTCTAATTTAATGTAAATTTTTTTTTTAACTTGCAAGGTACAATGGAACATATTACTCCTATAAAGGAAATTGACTCAATCAAGGACGATTTCACAATTAAAGTTCGGATCATACGTCTTTGGACTCAAAAGTCAAGAACAATGTCTTATAATTGTCTATATCCCATTTTTAGTAATTTATTCTCAAAGAACAATGCTATAATCTGTAATTTATCATCTTTTAGTTTAATTTTCTAAATATATGTGTGGTTGTCTATGTGTATGTATCTCTTTAAAAATTCTGCAATTTCATCATTTTATGACCCCCATTTGCGAAGTTGAGTATTTATTTCCAAAAATGCGAAACTCCAGGGACAATATTTGAAATTCTGTTTTCTTCCCCAATTCGCATTCTACTGTGAAATACTTCGCATCTTCATTCTTACACCCTTCGCATCCCTTCGCATTAATCACCTTCGCATTTTAACCTAATTAATCAAATGCGAACCACAAAATTTTCATTCCAGATGCGAACACAGTTTAGTTCTTGAACTCTAAACTTGCGAAATCAAAAATTCATATGTTGAACCCATATGCGAATATTAACCCAATTGACTTCAAATTGATTCACAGATGCAAACACTCGATTGTTTTACTTTCGCAAAATGAGCATCAACAACTCCACAATCGAGTTTTTAAATTCTTGCAAACAACAATTTCAGTCCTTGACTTCGCGTTTTTCTTCACGAATCATCCCTCAATCATCAATCCAATTGCGAATCAAAAATCATATGTTCTTGCTTTATCGATTCATCGACTACACTCATACAAATGCGAACAATACTCAATTTCAAAATCGATTGAAACTTATAGCAAAGCTAAATCCAACTTCGCATTCAAAGCAGTGTTATTGATTGCATTCATGAACTACTAACAAGATAATATATTATAATACAAATATACACATTTTAGGTGGTGAAATCGTAACAGCCTAACAATTTGGTATGCAACTTTATTAAATCAATAAAAAAAGTTATGCAAATTGGAAAAATAAATAAAAATATATCTTTTGTTGTTTTAATTAAGGAAATAAATATTTTATATGAATACTCACCTGGAAAAACACATTATAATTGTCTAATTTAATCGTAACAGCCTACCAATGTACTTTCTTCTTGACTGTTTGATTGTTTTTTTCTGTGTGCTGATTATAATTGTCTAATTTAATGTAAATTTTTTTTTTTAACTTGCAAGGTACAATGGAACATATTACTCCTGTAAAGGAAATTGACTCAATCAAGGACGATTTCACAATTAAAGTTCGGATCATACGTCTTTGGACTCAAAAGTCAAGAACAATGTCTTATAATTGTCTATATCCCATTTTTAGTAATTTATTCTCAAAGAACAATGCTATAATCTGTAATTTATCATCTTTTAGTTTAATTTTCTAAATATATGTGTGGTTGTCTATGTGTGTGTATCTCTTTAAAAATTCTGCAATTTCATCATTTTATGACCCCCATTTGCGAAGTTGAGTATTTATTTCAAAATATGCGAAACTCCAGGGACAATATTTGAAAATTTCTGTTTTCTTCCCCAATTCGCATTCTACTGTGAAATACTTCGCATCTTCATTCTTACACCCTTCGCATCCCTTCGCATTAATCACCTTCGCATTTTAACCTAATTAATCAAATGCGATCCACAAAATTTTCATTCCAGATGCGAACACAGTTTAGTTCTTGAACTCTAAACTTGCGAAATCAAAAATTCATATGTTGAACCCATATGCGAATATTAACCCAATTGACTTCAAATTGATTCATAGATGCAAACACTCGATTGTTTTACTTTCGCAAAATGAGCATCAACAACTCCACAATCGAGTTTTTAAATTCTTGCAAACAACAATTTCATAGTCCTTGACTTCGCGTTTTTCTTCACGAATCATCCCTCAATCATCAATCCAATTGCGAATCAAAACTCATATGTTCTTGCTTTATCGATTCATCGACTACACTCATACAAATGCGAACAATACTCAATTTCAAAATCGATTGAAACTTATAGCAAAGCTAAATCCAACTTCGCATTCAAAGCAGTGTTATTGATTGCATTCATGAAATACTAACAAGATAATATATTATAATACAAATATACATATTTTAGGTGGTGAAATCGTAACAGCCTAACAATTTGGTATGCAACTTTATTAAATCAATAAAAAAAGTTATGCAAATTGGAAAAATAAATAAAAATATATCTTTTGTTGTTTTAATTAAGGAAATAAATATTTTATATGAATACTCACCAGGAAAAACGCATATTATAATTGTCTAATATCACTATTCTTCATTTTTTCTAAACTTTCATATTTTTTTTTTGTTACAAATTAAAAACTATAATTATATTTCAATTTATCACCCGTGGATCTCCACGGGTTTAAACCTAGTTACATTATATACATAAAAATGGAAAACAATTTCTGGAAATTACATGTATACCTTATTGTTATTCGAATTTTACAACAACAAAAACGACTACATTAGTTTTTTTTTTCTCTAAAACAATTTAATACTTTTATTATATATATCATCTTAATTCGAAAACATTTAAAAACCTTGTAACCAAACACTAGCCTAAACTCCAAACCACGCTCAATATCAATTTCACCCTAAATTAATTTCAAATAACCGCCCATCACCTCGGGAGCTGGGAGCTGCAATCATGGCGGAATTGAATTTTGAAAACCATCCTTTAGAAAAAGTAGTATCTTCAATGATAACACTCTGTGATTCTGTCATAGTGATAGGATCAAAGGCATCGGTGCATGAAAGTTATTGCCAAATAGTGGCGAGGAAAGTTGAAGATATACGAGAGTTGCTGGAATCGGTGATGCATTTCATGTTTTACGATCGTCCGATCAGGTTTATTCTTCCCTTTGTTAATCAGACATTGCGTACAGTAGAAAAGGAGCTGAATGAATTTTGTCTGTTGCTCCCTATTTTGGCGAGGACAACGTTGGTTTTGAAACTCCCAAAGTTGGAAAGGGACCTCATCGATGTAAGCGGCGATCTCTTTTGGATCGAGGAACTTTTGCGCAAGGGCTACAGACTCCAACGCGTTGAACAAAACGGAGGTATTAATATTTCTTATACAGTACCTAAATTTACCTTCATCAACCACTCAATAGCTATTGCATGGTGCGCTATAGTTAGTCTTTTTAAGAATCGACTATTCTACAAAGTAACTGCCTTAAAGGACATAGGGATCTTGGTTTGTGGAAAACAAACTGTAGTGTTAGATGTTATTGATGTATACGATACAAATGTCAATGGTAAGGAGGAATTAGATGTTATTGAAGCAATCGATCGTCTAGGTAGCGGAAGGTATGACATTCTATGACTACTTTTGTTTCTTTAAATAATACTCATCTACATTGGTTTCATTTGGATTCTCTTTAACTCAAGTGTACCATACCACCACAATTATTTGTCTTGATGGTTTTTTGATTGCTCATGGTCTTTAATTTGGATTTCATGTCCCAAAGTTTGATTTTATCTCATGCAATCGTTTGCCTGTGTTTTCATAAGACCAAAATTTGTTTGTTTAGGTATTATGGTATTATACTACAAGTGTGTAAAGTTGAAGTTTTGCTCACAAGTATAGATTTTTTTTTTATAAACAAATTATTTACTTTAGTGGTGTACTTTTGGAAGTATTTTACCAAAATATAGCAAAAATAAATTTTGACTGTGGGTCATATCTCCTTTTTGCTCGTTGGGAAATTGAAGCCAACCAAAAGTTTGTTGCAGGAATATGAAACCAGCCTAACTAATTTCAAAGGCTCATATAGAGTCACTCTTTTGTTTGGTGTGCTGGCCAAAATCTGAAATCACAAAAGGAAATAAATATAAAACATTGACAATGATACCCTGTTTTGGTTGCTTTGCTGGCCTGGAAATGGAAGCAACCTAAATTAATTTGGAAGCATAGGCAATGCTAAAGTTGTAAATGCACAATCAGTTCATTGATAATGTTTATTTTACCAGTGACTTTTGTTATATCTGTCCTTCCCTGTACGTATTCTTCTTGCAGCCTTGAGAATGGAATTGAACATGATTTTGTTGGTTTTAGGAGTTTAATCTGTTTACATGTTAATTTATCTTGGTAACTAATGTTCTATGAGATCACAGAGGATGAATGGAAGAGTTGGTGAAGGTACAGTGGACTTCCAGCACAATGGGAATCAGCATGATGGAGGGAGAAAGAAGAGAAGAGTAGGAAATGATAATGGTTTGTTCATTTTTTTCTTGTTTTTACTTTTACTATAGAAAGTTGAGATTCAAACTGAAATCTGCTATGTTTTTGTTAATATTTTTCGAACTATGAGTATTTGGTCAACGTTATTTCTAACTACTAATTTTCAATACAAAACATTGAATATGTGATTGCATTTCCCAAAAAAACATGGATGTTAGGTTATTAAACAGGACAGAACTAGATGACACATGACAAGCTCTATGGGTTATGTTTTAGGATTATGATGTAGATAAAAAAGGCATTCAAGTCTTTTGCATAGACTGGATACCCAAAGTGAGTCCCTGCCTTACTATATTTGTGATTTTGTTCCATTTTTTTGGGGCAATTTTGTCTTATGACATCCATTTACTGCATGATAATTGTTGTACAACACGTTTGTAATGCGTAACAAACATGGCCTAATATGTTGAAAATTATTATTTGGTGTTTTGTTTGTATATTTTCATAGTATTTAATAGTGGTAAGAAAGTTAACAGTAGAAGGTATAACCACTTGTATGGTGTACTGTATGTGTATTACACAGATTTCGAATCTAATGGTTTGAAGTGTCAATCCATGATGTTTTCATGTGGTTATGTCATCATTCATGGTTAGGCTTGCCAATCTCATTTCCAATGGGGTCTATATGGATTTTAATGGAGTTTTGGAGTTTTCTTAACCCTAGCTTCTCAATTTCAGGATTTATTCCTCATATGGTGTCATTAACTAGTTTTCAAACTTGATTCATGTATTCTATTCCAAATCTAAGTTCATTGTAGTAAACCATTTGGATCTAATTCTAATCTTATAGTTGGGTTGTACCTTGGCGATGATGAGTTGTACTCTAGCCTCTAATCGTAAAATTAGATTCAAATGTAGAGTATCAATGTTATTAGATTATTCATAATTGATTCTAGTCATGGTTCCATAGTTTTTACCTTTGAAGATGTATCTGGAATTGACAATTCCAATGGTGGAGACACAATTGGAATGGAATGAAGAGTTTTCGGAAATAATGTTGGTCATCAAAACATTGAAATGATTTTCAAAACGAAACATTAAATGATAATCTATATTGATTAACTAAGCTTTTATGCACATATGATTATATAACTTCATCCGGGTAATTGGAATCAACATAATGCTTTGTTGGTTTGGAATCATAATATATGGAATAAGAGGTATTTGGTTTATAATATGTGTATTTGAGTCTTAAAGCATGAAGAAAAAAAAAACATCTATGGATAATGTTTGGGAAGGTTTGGCTGCAAAATGGTCAAAGTAGGTTGCTTAAAATGGAGTTTAAGCATAATTTACACGACCTTACAAAATCAATTTTACAGGCCGTGCATATTTTTTCATGAGAAGAATTCACTGTTGGGTTGGGTTGGGTTGGCTGCACGACCTGCAAATTTATTTGTCAGCCCTTACAAAACTGTTGCAAGACTTTACAACGTAATTTCACAAACCGTGCAAAATAAGTTGTGATGAAACTTTTTGAATATTTTTAATCCTTGCAAATGAAGTCCAAATCATGACTTGTTTTCTTTAATGTTTTCTTATGATATTAGTGATAAGATTAAGAGTATAATTTGAGATGTTAGAGATTAGTAAACATTGTCCCTCTCTCATTTCAAGCACAAAGCCTCCCATCTAGCGATTGTTAAATTGAAGAACACACCATATGTTGGAAATTTAATGGTATGATGCCGGTTGGCAATTTTCCATTGTCACACATTGGTGGGGGAGAAACTTACAACAAATTTATAAGAAAATCCTAAGCCTAAAATAGTCAAATTGGAAGCTTATTGGTCCATTAGGCCCAATAAGAAAATCCTAGTCCATAATGGACTTAAACCGGGATTTTTAGGGTTTCCAATCTTTTGTTGACCATTTGAAGTGTTGTATAGAGTGTTTGATGGAATTTTGTTGTCATTGAATAAACATCATGCATACTTTCAAGTTTTGGCCACAAATGTTACTCTTGTTAATGTTTACAAAAACCTTAGAATTCCTAGTTGTGACACAATATATAGTAATCATTAATGAACTCATTATATGAGTCAGGAAGTGATTGAAGAACCAAGTCTACAACCAACTTCCTGGAGGCATCGACACCCAACATTACCAATCTATCAATTTGTGGCTTCATCTCCAAGACGTGTGCATACACAGACTTTCCATCTTCGTGTTTACTTACCAATAGGGCTTGAGTGACCTTAAACTTTTCAAGTCTTCAAAATTGTGGGTCGGGGAAAATAATTGGATGAGGCAGAGAAAGTGAAGCATGATTTCCAAGTGGAAAGCTTTTTCCAAAGGATTCGGGAAGACCATAGTTAGAATTTGACATCTACAAAAGGGAGAAATTCAAGTTAGATGATTCAATCCTTAATATAACATCCAAATGGAACATTAAGGCTAGGACCCAACACGATATTCTACAATTCGGAAGAGGGATGTCGTAATCTAATTGCATAATATTTGAAGGTAGTTAAATGATGATTTACCAATATCCACCATGAAAAATGAAAAAGAAAATTAGGTTTTAAATGAATTGAAATTCCTCGATCTTTTGAGATTCATTGAACTTTTCAATAGCATGTTTAATCTCGATTATGCCCTTCATGTTTGTGACTGGGATGCCAAGGATCACAAACAAGGTGTGAATAACCATGCAAATTAGCTTGGTACTCTCGATGTCGATTACCACCCAATCAATGTGTCGGTTAACCACACACGCTCCATTGATCAATGGTAATCTTACGAGAAACCCATTTCCATCCTTCGTTGGTCCCATATATAGTGTGTCGGTTAACCACACATGCTACAGTAACGACCAACAAGGTGCAATGTGCAATTTCATGGATTAGCACCAAATTCACATTTTTCCTAAAGTAACTAAGATTTGGGAATTTATAAAAGCGTTTAGTTACTTCGTATTTCATTATACTTATAATGGAAGGTTGTGTCCTATCCTACCCGTTCGGCTAACGACCCTCCACTAGTCAAGAATGTGGTGGGTAAGAGTGGATACCCAATGGTGATCATTTTACTGGCTGCTTCCTTAAACACTCCTTATAGACCACCTTCGTGAATGAGACCTATTAACGGTAAGACTGACTCTTTACTTATACATATATAATATATTAGACTTTTAATTTTATATAGTATAAGGGTGTATTTTATACATTTAAAATACTATGTGGTTTAATCTATTAGAATTTTAATTTGATAAACTTAAAACATATAATTATGGATTTATTAATTATCTCTTTTAATTAAACTCTTAATTAATTTAATAAAAACATAAGGGTGCAATTTGATCTTTTCAAAGTACTAGGGTTTTAGAATTTAACATTTCAAAATTAAAACTTTTAATCAAATTTTAAATTCCAAAACTTGAGGACAAATTTTGAAACCTTTCATAGTATTAGGTTTTAACTATTTAAATTTCAAATTTAAACTTTAAAACCTACAGTGTGTAATTTAAAACTTTTTCAAAATTACTAGGTTAAATATTTGAATCAAAATAATGATATAACATCCATATTTAACCAAATCCACCAAATCTGATAAGGATATCCATACCAATCATAAAAAATCGAATTTAGGCAACAAAACGAGTTTTGGTAGATATCCAAATCAAAAATTGGCCAGAAAATCGAAAAATCCCAGCACCAGGTCACCCAACTCATTGAGTCCACTATGGAACTCGTCGATTTCAAGCAACTCGTCGAGTCCATACATGGACTCGTCGAGTAGACCAGTCAGACAACAAGAATTTCGACTTTTTGATCCTTTGGTAGTTCACTTTTGCATCTATTCAATAGAAAAACAACCTAGGCTCTGATACCACTATTGAGTTATGAGCAAAACATAATTCATATGGTGTACATGCAACCCTAATTGCTCTGATTAGGTTTTTCTAATTTGAATATATAACTATGAAGACCAAAGCATAAACCCTAATGACTAGCATACAAATTTGAAAATCACATATGATTAGGGTTAGAAAGTTTACCTTGAGTTGTTATGTAGCAATAACAAGAACTCCTTGACCTTTGAAATCTTAGTGCCCCAAGTTTTGCACCTCTAATGGAATCAAAAACACTCAATGCAAGGAGGATGACTTAGGAGAGGGAAGGATTTCGGCTAGGGTTCTCTTAGAAGACTTAGGGGACGAAAATCTTTATTAGAGGGTTACATGTATAGCTATGGCTGCTAGGGTTTTCAGGTGGAAACCCTAATACCTGACTTAGGCAACAAGCAGCCCATGAACTCCTTTCCTTAGAGCCCATGGACGAATTCTTTAAGGCTCCCTTATACAAATTCGTCCACTCCACTGTATGGAGTCCATCGACCCATTTATGCAACTATCAATGATTTTCATAACAGCCCCTCAATTATTTAATCAGTCTCTTTTGATCACTAAATTAATTCCAAAATTATTTCTAATCAATACTAATTAAATAATATGATTTCCAAATAATATATTAATATTGTAATATATTAATAAAACCATTTTGAGTATGAATTTATTATTCACATAATAAATTCTACTCTCTCTCCTCTTGTCATCCTATCAAGTTGCATGAGTGAATGCAACCCAAAAGGATCATGCTCATAATCAAATCAAGTACATACAAAAAATAGTTATGGGCTTAGACACCTAATCCAACACTTGCAACATCCTAAAATTTAGAACCAAAAATTTCATTTTTAAATAGGTAATTATAAAAACCAGTAATCTGAAAACATTGATAGTGTCATCCCATATCATAATCAATTCAGTATTTCAATCATCAAATCATGCCATAAAAAGATAATATCATATTACAATCCCCAAGGATCTCATAATGCAGAAAATCATAGTGTGATGCGTTGCGATCATGTCGGCTCTTTTCTTTTTGAGAAGAAGTACCTAAAACCAAAACTAAAAACCGTAAGCATAAAGCTTAGTGAGTTCCCCCATCATACCATATACCAAACAAAAAACATATTTCCAAGCATATCTGGGTGCTGGACTCCCCTTCGGTCCATTTCAACCGGAAACTGCCGAGCATATCTGGGTGCTGGCCTACCCCTTCGTCTCTTTCAACCGGATACCGCCGAGCATATCTGGGTGCTCGACCTACCCCTTCGTTCTCTTTCAACCGGATATTGCCGAGTATATTTGGGTGCAGAAAATCATAGTGTGATGCGTTGCGAT